GGGCAGCCTGTTCCAGGGCTCTGTCACCCCCACAGTTAAGAAGTCCTTCCTCCTGTTCAGGCAGAACTTCCTGTGTTTCAGTTTCTACCCGCTACCCCTTGTCTTGCCACTGGCCACCACCGAGTAGAGTTTGGCACCATCWTCTTTACATTCTCCCAAMTGAACATTACTGTTTGAAATCAGAATTTCTGCCAGCTTAACTGGACAGCCCTGAGGTGCATTTCTGGCAGCAGCTTGGAGTAGAAAGTCACCACGACCTTCGAGCAATCTTTCCCTCTCTTCATTGCACACGTCTAATTAGGGAGAGCCATGTTGTAAACATGTTAGCTAGGCTGACAGCTACCTGAATTAGCTGTAGCACAGAAAGTGAATACAGGAGGAAAAAATAAAAAAGACAAAAAATAAATTATAGCTCACTTAGGATGGAGGCAAAAGGAGGCAGCTTAGYGAGGCTGGGCTGAAAAAATGTTGATGCACACACAACCCTTGAATATTGAAAAAGTGCTTTAACTAGAGCATTTAGGCTTGAGGGAATAGAGCTCTAAATGCTCTTMGGCAGTTTTTGATTTAATAAAAGTTTTTTGTGAGAACAGTGTGTAATTGCTGCGTGGTATTTACTCATTTGACCGGGATCTTCCTAATATTTCACTATTACGCAGGACTGACAGCCTGAAAGACTCACAAATATTTACCTCTGGAAAGAAAGTCCTAAGAGCAAAATGTTTGTAGTCCAGGAAGGGCACAGTTCCAAAGCTATCCACCACATCTAATTCATCCATCTGCAGTTCAGCAAATCCTGAAATAACAACCCCCCTCCCCACCCAGAGAGTTAGTTTGGTTAGCATAGATCATCCTCACAATTATAGCTTGGCCCCAGAAGATGCTCTTTAAAAAAGTTTTCAAAAAAGGCAAGTGGACTGTTCCTTTTTTGTTTTGTTTTGTTCTTTTTCCTAGCTGAAGTCCTAGGGAAAATTCATTTTTAATTTTACTTTTGTTGAAGCAAATTATTGCATGCAAACCTACTAGTCTAGTGCTATCTGCTGATGCAGTGCACATCACCATTAAAGAGAAGCTTTGATACTTGCGACACACAAATACCCTATTTCTATATTATAACAGCTATAAAYGTAAAAGTTTTGTATAGTCTGAAATGCTTCTTGACCGTTTCAGTTGAGTTCTTAAGCATTATAAMGCGCTTTTTACCTACCCTCACGTATTTCTTTCCGAATCTCATACTCCAACAATTCAAGTTGCTGACTTTGTTTACGAGTTAACTCTTTGGACTTGTATCTTGTAACTACGAATGCCACTAAATAGGGGAGGGAAAAAAGATACTGAATACAGAAAATTGAACTACATAAGACATAGACTTTATTATYATTTTTAAGAAATAGAAAGATGAATATACATTTACATTCTTCTGAAGCATTATTGTTTCTATTGTCATCAGTGTGGTAGCACCCATAAGCTCCAGTTTATTAGATCTAAACCCCGACTTTGATAAAAACCTTTTCGTAAAAGATTTTAGAGTTGGCAGTACAACTTTATTTGAAATACAGCACAAACTGCTATGCATGACGTGCACCTCAGATAGAGAATCTAAGAAGCAGTACTACTACTACTACTACTACTAGGAAGCTACTCAGTGTAGTACCATCATACAGGAAAAGCAGTTGTTTTGCACAGGAAATCAACTTCCAAACTGTTAACTTACTGAAACCTAGAGCACTAGAGATGGTTCCTGTAAAGGTAACGCACATTTTATAAAGAAACCCAAACAAGAAAAAGAGCAACACCCCACATATATAATGAGAAAACAAAATTTATCTAAAATGTAGTAGAATCAAGAAGGAATGAAAGAGAGGAGGGGCCATCCCCTAGCCCCCTCAGTTTGGCAACCATCTACAAAATTCATGAATCATCTAAATGAGACTAACCAGAAATATCTCCAACACTGCCTGARGATAAACGGTTGATAGGGAATGTCTGCCCCCAGGAAGGGGAGGGCAGTCTAGTTCTGACAACTGGAAATGCCTGAGTTATGACTCAAGAATTCAGAGGTGAGGTCTTGCCTCAATAAATGCTGGTGAATAATCTCCTGTGTAACTGATGCTGTATTCTATTCTACGTATTGCACCATGCTGTAGTCTAGAAACATGGACATCACCACTGACAAGAGCCTTCTTCACTCTCCTGTAGAACTGGGGAAAATATCCAACTGTTTCTGACTGTCACAGACACATGTGTGTGTTTGTGCAGTGACTTGCTCCTTCAGAAAATGAAAAAAATGAAAGCATATTATTGTACTTACCTATAATGACACCCACTACAATAGGGAGTAGAATAAGAACATACAAATATAGGTATGATGATGTTGGTTTGACCTCGTGCTCAAAATTTCCTAGTTTGACCTGGAGAAAAATAATGCCTGCGTTAATGGAGGGCATATGCTATAACAATCCTTAAAATTACATTTAAAGTATATTTWAAAAGTCCCCTGGGCACATGAAGGACCTTGGCTTTGAGAAGACACCAGCAATTTGGAAAAACATATGCAAACCAATGCAAACTTAACTTTATTTGATATTTAAGCAAGACAACAGAGTAGAACCAAGAGAAAAATACTGAAGTCCTCATGGAGCACCAAGTTCATACTGCAAACAAGAGGCCTCGAATATAAACCAGGGCAGAAATCTAGCCTCAAACTGGCCAGGGGGCTGATGCACTGCAGGATCCCTGCTAAACATCTTAGTATTTTGCAGTGGGTAAGGTGCCTGCTGAGGCTTAAAACCAGTTCTCTGAACTCATAGCATTAATCTGCTGAGCAGAAAAATACAGCAAGACTCAAGCTGATAATGAGGGAAGTACAATTTTCGATAGTGGCCTCACCCAGAGTCCTCTTCCCTATTTCTGTGGACAAGTTCCAACCTCTTTCTGTGGGTCTGTAGGGTGTTCCTGAAGATCAGCCTAAGATCAACTATAATTGCACGTACAGCATCCCCCAAGAGCCACAGGCTCATCCAAGGCAGACACGCATGGATTTTAAGGGATGCGCCAGAGTGCTGAGGTCGGCCCGATGCCCAAGGGACACGTTCACCACAGGTAATTACAGCAAACGCGATTTCGCCAAGGAGGATCTCCACGAGGACGGCCAAAACACAGAAATAAAGAGTAGCAAACGCTATAAACAGACCAGAGGCAAAAAAAAAAAAAAAAAGAAAAAGAAAAAAGAAAAAAGAAAATGTGTATTTTTCTTTGACAAGCAAAAAAAAGAATCCCACTGAGTGCTGCGGATAGGAATGAGTCTCAGATAATTGAAAGGGAGAGCTGGGTTGAAAGTGCAGGGAAGAAGGGGACAAGTGCAGGGAAGAAAGGGAAGACAAGAGCAGGGAAGAAAGTGCAGGGAGGAAGGGGACAAGCTTTTTTCATTGGTGGCCAGCGATAGGACGAGGGGAAATGGGCATAAGCTGAAACACAGGAGGTTCCATCTCCAGGTGAGAAGGAGCAACTTTACTGTGAGGGTGACAGAGCAGTGGAACAGGCTGCCCAGGGAGGTTGTGGAGTCTCCTTTTCTGGACGTCTTCAAAACCCGCCTGGATGCCACCCTGTGCCACATGCTGTAGGTGTGCCTGCTTGAGCGGGAAGGTTGGACTAGATGATCTCTAGAGGTCCCTTCCAACCTTGAATATTCTGCGATTCTGTGAAAGTGTTCTGGGCTGCAGCAGCGAGGGCCAGGATGCCTCCTGGGAGCCCCTTGCCCGGGCTGAGCCGCCCCGGGGCTCACGCAGGCCCCGCGACCAGCGCCCCCCTCTCTGCCCGTCCCTGCGCTCCAGGCAGCTCTCCTGCAGCACGGYGGCGCGCTGCTTGCCCCCTTTCAGCAAGCGAGGCAGAGAATTTCAAGGGGGTTTCAAGTCGTATTTAGACTATCTCTCACCTTCACCCCAGCCTCTTTACTTAGCGGCCCCATTTCTTTCCTAATCTTGTGTTCATCTTGCTAAAGAATCACGGATTAAGTATGGCACTCCTGTTTTTACCCTCTTTGTATTCCCAAATTCCCTCCATCCTTCCTGCACGGTATTGCAGAGCCAGCTCTTGACTGGCAATACCTCATTTTTGGGGGTCATCAGCAACTGTTATTGGCACATGCCGACTTTTTTTCTGCTCAAGCTACAGTAAAAACAGCAGTAAGAAAATCAGCAATGCCCAGCACCAGCTCCTCATGTGCAGCGTCCCCTGGCTCCAAGCCCCAGCATCCCRCAATGACCCTGCTAAGTAGTTTTCTGAATGGCTTCCATTTATGTGTAATCTATTGCTTTTTTTTTTCTTTTTCCCATCTTGAGGAAATCATTCATCCCTCTAAATAAAGACATCTAGCATAATCCACCTTTATTAAAAACAAGTTAGCAATTATGCCATTCTCCATCTACCTGCAGCTCTTCCAGAAGTCTTTCGCATTCCAGATATATTATAAGGCTCTAAACAGAGCTGGGATTAAATCAGAAAGCCTGATTTTTTTTTTTTTTAATTACTGGTATTACATTTGCTGCTCTCTCCAGTCATGCAGCACTTCTCCTGACTCTACAATTTTCATCACAATCTTTCCTCCCAAGCCTAGAGTATCACGTGCCAGCTCCTTCTTAGTTCTGTGATGGAAATTATCCTGTTCTTCCTGTCTGGAGACCCCTGATCCGCCTGAATCTTGCTTCTGTCACAAGAAAGGCATTTTCTTCTTCTCTGTCTCCAGTCGGACTGATCATCCTGTCTTTGACCTCACGCTTCACATCCTCTTTCTTACTGAAAACCAGGGCAAGGTATATATTTATACTTGAGCCACACCTAGATTATTATCTAGCATATCCTTTCTTCATGCAGGCTCTATTTTCTCTATTGTGATATATTTACAGGGCTACTTGTATCAACATTATGCATAACATAAGTTACAATATACTATTATATACCATTATACATTGTATATTGTATGTATAACCCTATTACACATATTACATATGTTATTATAAACATAAAATAATAATTGTGCTATATAACTATAATATAATTATACATCATATATTTATAGGACTAAAAACATGTATGTTTACCTACTTTCACATTTTCCTGGTGTTGGAAAAAACATTATGATGAATACACTCTCAGTAGAAATGTTATATTATAGTTATTGCACTTGATTTGCCTACCAAAGCAGTGAGTTTTCTAAAACAGACACTCCTATGAAGCTTGCAGGATGGGCATGTGATATTGCAAGGAAACTTTAATATTTAAATGCAACACCAAGCTCAGCGAGGCTTTTCCATGCAATTACTGGCTCAGATGGCAGGATCCACAGATGGGGGATCAGTTAACAGCAATATGAAATTGAGAATAGCTCCGTTAACCTTTACTATGTGCCATATGCCTCGAAGTCAATAGAGTTATTTCAGCTTTCTATCACCATGCACTGCAAGCAGAGTCTGGCATYGTTTTTCGCACTCATAAATGGTGATGACTGCATTTTTAAAAATTCCCATCTTCATCTTATTGCCGGAGCAAATTTCTTAAGGTGCTACTGAGCTCTGACATCCATGCTAATGTTCTCAGACTTGGGCCTGACTTTGTGCCACRTGTTCATGGCATTCTGGCCTCCACTTGAATTCTGTCCACTTCTTTTTTACTCAGAATTGCCTTCTCTTGTCCCTCAGCAGTGATTGCTCTGCAGAGCTCAAGATCCTCAGCCACTTTCAGTGAATGTCCCTGTCCTCGTCCCTGTCCTCGTGCCCCCACTGCAGCACCTGGTTGCTTGCAGACCTATGAAGAGRGGCAGTCCTGGAGCCAGGGCCACTTCACCGGCCCCCTCTGCCCTGCAGTCACGTGTGACACTCCTGGGGCTCAGCACGGAGCCCAGTTTGGGCTGCAAAGCCCTTTTTTGATACTCCAGCAGTAACCAGGCAACAAATGAACACAGTACTGCTGGTGGTACCTAGGCAGGCATGCTTAGGTGTGAAGAAGAAAAGCGGATTATCAACCGGATTATCCTAGGCAAGGCAGCAAAAAATGCACCCGTGTCCCCTCTTAAAGAATATTCACGACCAGAGCATTAATGCTGCATTTCACTACAGAAACATCAAAACATTGTTGAATTGCAACAAATTGGAATTCTACTTACAAAAACTTTCACTGTGGAAAAATCAATCTTGTCACTTCCTTCCCTTTTGAATTTGCACAATATGGTGCTACGGTCAGGTTTTTTGGTAATGTTTTGGACATTGAACCATATCTTTTTGGTCTGTGCACCAYTCATATAGGAGAGATACACCTCTACCTCAGTTTTGGAAATATTCAAGTTGTCATTTTCTTTCTAGAGGAAAAAAAAATGAAGTTACAAACAGTCACTAAATATGCCAAGTGGTAAAATAATCCTCAGTGACTATTTTAAATAAGGAGCTATATATGTATTTTTTCAAACTTACATATATTTTTAATTCCAGATCAGGATCGAGTTCGGTGTGCAGTTGGTAGTTAATGAACACTGGGTCAGGGTGGTAGTGTAACTTGACACATGATATAAAGGTAGTTTCTACTTTCAACATCATATCAACAATTTTTCCCTCTTTTGCATGGCTCAGACTTGGCGTTAAGTAATTATATTCAGATTCATTTCCAGGACACCTAGAGACCTTGAAAGGCAACAGCAAAGCTGCAACTGTCATTAAGCACTCAACAGTAGGTACAATTACAAACAGAAGCACTCAAAATCATTTTAAAATCTTCCTGATTTCACACAGACATCTGCTAAACCTCCTCTCTGGGATCAAGGCTCCACGCAGAGTACCTGGAAAGTTTCTGTTGAGCCTGTGCCTGCCTTTAAGCACAGTTATTGCTCTCTCTGCATGCTGCTTTCAGGCTGATTGCACACTGCTAAAGCAGGTATTTCCTACAGTGGGAGCAGAGCACAGTGAATAGTGCTCAGGGGCTCTCCTTTCAATGCAAGCCATGGCAGATGAGCTGGACAAGCTCCCCAGCACCCCCAGGATTATCTTCCCCTCTCAGCCTCACAAAATGGGTTTAGTCCCAGCATCAGAGTCTGTCCTTGCTGAGGCACTGGCAATATTTAGGCTTTAGCACAAAATGAGAGAAGTACACTGAGGAACTGGCATGCTGAGATCAAGAGATGGGATCAACAGTAGGGAAAACACCTCCTCAGATCGCCATCTGTTCCTCCAGTGGACACACATCTGGATGCTGGAATCAGAGAGGGCAGCTTAGCAAAGAAGTCCCCAGGGTACCAAAGAAAGACACAGGGCATCATGCAGAAGAGTAGCTTATGTTTATCCATGATCCACAACCATTAGTACATAGGCAACTGAACGACTTGCAAGTGGTCATATTTATTTCTGTAGGAAGACTGATGTTAAGCACATGTCTAACTGATTGAAAAATACCGAGTTCTTCCCAAAATCTCAGGAACAAAACTTGCTCCCTTAAGGCACCTGTATTTGTTACTGTGAAGGAGATTATGACTTACAGTGACGTTTGGTCTCTGGTCATCTGAAATAATCACGCTGTCCACCACATTGAARTTTCTACCCAATGCAGTTATTTTGCGACCACCACTATCAAATGAAAACAAAACAAAACAAAGCAAAAAGAACAAAGCCAAAGAACAAGAGGTTAATACCATGAGCTTTCTTGCAAATAAATCCTACATTGAGTTTTTAGTCATAAATTAACTAATTGAGTACATTTTGCTTTGGTAGCAGYCAAAAAAACAGATGCAAACCTCAGGACCAGATAATTTGCATGCYAGCCTCTCCCACTGTACCAGTTATTCTGAAGGCACTTGAGATATATTTTGCACTTTCAATTCTTCCCAAGGTTAAGGCAAACCTTGTTTGCTAACACACAGCCAAAGGACCTGATTGTATGCACGTGCATGCTCCTTCTCAGGGACTCTCCAACCTTTTCAATATTCACTCAGCCTAAGCACTTGCCTGGGAGTTAATAGTCTATCTAGGGGAAAGAACATCACAGTATTATTTCATTGCCCCAGGGTGGGCTCAATTCCTGATTTCTTCTGGACAGTGTGGCAGTGCCAGGCACCTCCCAGGGCACATTTCTGGCAGCTCAGGGACCATCTGTCTGAGCCCACACACCGCTGCTCGTGTCCGAGGGCGCCGGCTCCCGCTYGCTCGTGAACACCCTTGGAGTGGCTTGAGGTATTATTAATTTCCAGCTGCCTGCACTGCCCCTCACCTGCRGGGCAGGGACCGTGTCCTCGCTGCTCAGCTGCTGCAGCTGCCACTCCAACGTATTATCAGGCATCTACAGTTGCCAGTGGCTTAAGCCAAGGCGTCACACTGGGAACTTGAAAGTGGGTAAAAATCCCTTCTGCTGCTCTGCTGTGCAGGCAGAGAACAGGTGGAAAGCGGTGACTAAGAATATCTTAAACCACCACAAAAATGATTTTGACCCCAACTCTTCTGTCAGAGCCATAAGTCTCTTATAGAATGCAGAAGAAACCTGAATATGGCTCTTTGACATGAGATTCTAAAACAAGTCTGTGCTTATCACTGCAGTAATTATCATTTCCTTTTTATTTTCAATTTGCTGATACTTTCTAGTGCTTAGGATGTGAAGGGCATATAAGCCAAAATAATATCCAAAACAAATGGAGGAGAAGCAAAGATAATCAGTTTAAATTTGTGTGCCACCCAGATTTTGGATTTAACTTTAATGCCAACAGCCTAGTTTTTTATTTCTACTATGGCCTGTTGGGGGATGGAAGAGGAATTTGAACAGAAATAYAGAATGAACCTTACAGCGATTGTGACCCTCTCTGTTTATAAATAAAAAAAGGCAAAAAATACTTATAAAGCCAGTTCACTGGGGTAAAGTCATCCTCCACAACAGGCTAGTACAGGCTCAACCTACAGTTCATTTTCTCTGGCTCTCTGCAAGGCAGATGAGCCTTTGCATGTCCAAAGTTTCCACAGTCACCCAAGTTTSTACCAGCTACAGTCTGACCAGGTAAGCAGAGTCATATTGGCTCTGTGGAGCTACATTTTACTAAACACACACACAAAAAAAGAAAGTGTAGGAAGACAAGTTTTACCTGAACCAGGAGGTATTTGGTGTGATTCCAAAGCACGATGGCAGCGACACATAGTGCAACGTCACTGGTGGTGAACACGTCCTCCCCTCAGCCTGTATGCACACACTTTTGGCCTCTTTGCGTGTTGGTGGGAGAGCAAATGTCATTTGTGTGTCATTTAGCACATTTCTGACTTGAATGCTGAAGGAGAAAGAAAAGTCACAGACGCTGAATCACAGATGCCACTCATTTGGTGTTACTAYATGAGGCTTATAACCTAAAGCAAGGGACGAGGAGGGAAGAGAAATGACTCTTTCCTCCTTGAGTAGCCAGATGGAGATGGAAASAGAGAGCAGGGAGCCAAAACCACAAAGTAGGGCAGCATCTTTTGAATTAAGAGTGCAAGGACATTGCTTTTATGGCCTTGAGATAAGGCTCTGTAATCTGATGTGTGATTTCACTCTTTATCGTGTGCTTCTCTGTGTTACCAACATGGTTTCTTAGCTCTTCCAGAATGAGTCTTTCATTTCCCTTTTGTTCTTTATTTCTTCCTTCTTTCCTTCCATCCTTCCTTGCTTCCTTTCTTTCCTTCTCCTTCTCATTCTATCTTTTCATTTTGTCGTGGCCCCCAGGAAATTCATGGTGTAAGTAAAGATGGAACTCAATCATATGAATATTTTTTCAAGTGCTAGCTATACAAAATGTGCTTGGCAATCACAGACAGTCACGGTGGCTGCCCCAAAAATGCCCGATTCAGAGTAAGACAGCCTGATTATCTTGGGGCTTAGCCCGCACAAGCATCACCAGAGAAAAGCACAAGCTGCTGCAAGAAAAATTCCTCTTCCTGCCATGTTAGCTGAGCTTTCACAAGAAGAATCCTAGAATATTTGGGGGATGTTTTGAGATAGAGGAGAGTCAAATAAATGCAGAGGCTTCTCCTGTGACTTAAATTTTGGAGAGCCAGAAGACGTGGAATTGTCCTAGATGAATCAGCGAGGGCAAGACCACAATGCAAAGGTGCACAAACTGCCCACCTAACCACTGCATGCCTTGTATAATACCCAACCACAAAATGAAGTTCCCTCCTTTGGGAATTTAAAGGGGCAGAATAACTACAGCAGGAGTGCAGAGCACCTCTCTTTGCTGAGGAAAGGTCCATGAGAACGGCTCATGCAACAGCCAGAGAAAAATCTGGGTCTGGGTACATGCATTTTTTCCTATGCAAAGCAAAAAAAAAAAAGTATTTTTTCAGAGCTGTGTTAACTTACATTTCTGGTTTACAGCCACTGATTCCAGTCAGTATCAGTTTTATGCCTGATGCACGGGTAAAGTTTTCTCCTTTGACTGTTATTTCCCTTTTGCCTAATGTAGAAATCCACAAAGGCTCAATGGAATGGATGTTGATATGCTATTAGAAAACAAAGCAAAACAAAATCTGGTTATAAACAGGCTAGGCTGTTAACTGACAGCAACAAAAACAACCACTACTCAAGAATACAGATTTGATAGCACTTGGATACATTTCTTAATTAATTCCTAATCTTGCTAAGTTTGAATTTGATTCTGAGAAGTACTGGCAACCACCAATTCTTTACAAGCCAACTATTTCTACCTACATAATGCATACTTTAATTTAACTCACAATAAAGTTGCTAAAAGGAAGCACAATCTGACATACRGGAATGCACATATCACAAAAGCCCAGCTTGAAATGATAAATTCTCTGTGACCCTTGAGGGACTAAGAAACAACACAACAGGAGACAAAACCCACGGTGCTATCGCTGTGCGAGATCTGAGAAACAAATGAAGGCATCCCTCGTGACCCAAAAAGGGGAAGCGGGGTCAAATCCTAGCATCAAAAGTCAAGAAAGAGCCCAGAATTAGCTTTACTGGCAAGTCCTTTCAAAGTCATATGTAGAGCTAAAGGCACAAAACAATTGCAGGAGTCCTTTGGCATTACCTTGTGAGGCAAGGAAGTTCACAAATTCATCTTCCAGCATTTAAAAATAATCCCAGTTTGTTCTGATGAGCCAACACAGCCTGTAAGTCTCACAGTCTTACAGAAGTGTGGACATCTTTTAAACTGTGCTTTTTTTGCACAGATTTTGTTTTGCTTATTCTTTTACTAGCATGACTGAACGAGGATAGAGATGTTTTATCTAGTTTATTTATTTGAAGCACCAGCATCTCRTGATTAATCAGTTTTGTTGCTTCGCCCAGTTTATCTTACAGATTTATGCAGTTTCCTCCCTCTACATCTTATAAACAACAGAAATGTGAAAACATCCAAAATAACAGGAAAATATGCACCTGAAACAAACAAACAAAAAAAAAAGCTTGAGATCTTCTCAGGCAAATGACTTCTAACTTGGTTTTAGAAAATTTGCCTAAAATCAGACTTTGAAATTTTGAAAATTAGCCTGATTTCTGCTGAGTTCACTTGTGGGCAGGTCCATGGGGCCACATGCAGCCTTCTCTCTTTACAAGGCTGTCTAACTATCCCCACTAACCTTAACACCAAGAACAGAGCTGGTGCAGGACCTACCTGCCAGCTAGAAAAGTCTCTGCCATGGGGCTTTCCTCCCATTCTTCTCTTTATGTCTTTTTGTCTGAGCACCATCATTACTTTGGGCTCCTAGCCTGAGGTGATCACCTGGGTCACAGAATCCAGGTCTCTGCACATCTTGCCCACTTCAGGACGGTCCCCAGCTCATCTTGCCCATGTTTCCACCACCTGCAGATCACTTCACATTGCTCCAGAGTAAATGGGAGGCTTGTCACAACTGACCACGCTCCACAACCTCTGAGCTGGGAAAGAGCAGGAGAGCATAAAGGCTGGGGCCAGAAGCCCTTCAAAAGCAGGGAATTTGCTGATGAAATTCCTTTGCTCCAAGATGATTTCTGGACCCAAGGAACGGAGAAGGGCAAAGCAAAGACGTGCCCAACTGCCCAAGGAGGAAAATTGTCTCCCACACTGATCCAGTGCCCGGTTTAGCCCTGCAGCATGTGAGCAGGACAAGTCAAGCACAACCTGTGCACTTGGGGCCTGTGAAGCCCAAGTGAAGCACCTACATCCTGCCTCTGCCTGCCCTGTCTCCAGGGCCCCACAGGAAAGCAAGCAATCTCAGGCAGACCCAGGACCAAGTACTACAGAGAGGAGCACAAAGTTGCTTGTGGGCTCTCCCAGGTAGCCAGCAGTGATGCTGAAGCMCAGGCTGAACAGAATACAAACTGTGACACACACAGGCCGCCTCGCACCATGCCTTGCTCCAGAGGAGCAGCCCCATTAGGCGTGTGAGGAGCAGGCCCAGCAGGTCCTCCAGGCCTTGGAGGAACACAGCCTTGCCCAGGCTCCAGCCAGCACCCAAGCAAGAAAGGGGAAATTTCAGGAGGTGAAAGCCTCTTTTCATGGTGGCTATGGAGAACATTTAGCCCGCTTCATTTCCTTTTAAGCAATTTCTTTTAAACATGGTTCCTTCTTGAAGTTTCACTCCYGAATCATGCCCTTCCTGCGGCTAAATGACACCAACTTCCCCGCTGAATTCTCTGTCCGAGTCTTGGTTTAGTGCAGATATTCGCAGGTCTGGGCCAAGCTAGCCCGAGGTCCCCGCGTGCCGCTTTCCTGACTTGACTGGGGCTGTCAGCAGCACTTACACTTCTCAGCAACCAAGAAACTGTGAATTCCACCTCTGAACGCGGGYGAAACGATGCTCCTGGGAGGGCTAGCTGAGCTCCGCAGCGCTCATTTCCTAGCAAAAGGGACCAACTGACCTTTCAGCTTCCGTGTGCAGCTGAGGAAGAGAGATTCCCAGCAATAACASGCAGAAAAGAGGCAGGAAGGCATTTATAAAGCTCGGAGGTTGCGAGGCACGCAGGCACGGTGGTGGTGAAGGCAACCTAAGCGCGCATCGGGTCCTCAAGTAACATAAATCAGCGTGCCCCTGTCAGCTCCGATAGAGCTATGCGTTTCCAGGACCCAGCGTGGCACATCCCCGGGGCTGCAAAAGCGGTGACAGTGACACCCTCCCACCGCCGTGTTCCCCAGCCTCGGCCACCTCATCCCCGGCCCTTCCTGCACAGCTCCTTGGCCACAGGCAGCGCTGGACCCTGGGAGTGACCCAGATGGAAAAGAATCTGCCAAAAGAAAATGCTAATTTCCAGGCACGTCAGCTCCCYGATCTCGCTCGCTCGTGTAGCCGCTCCAGCTGCTGTCCTCATGCAAGGGGAGGAAGGTGCACGCACAGAAGCCAGCAGCTGGTGTCAGGGAGGAGGACTGTGACTGCCAGCAAAGAAAAGTACATTACGCTAAAATTAAACGGAATTAGACTAAATGCTTGGCTGGGGCTGTGTGAAAACACAAATCCTCTTTCTCAGCCCTCCCATACGTTCTCCTTAAAGCATGAGCAGTAAAAGGAGAGCAGGATTTCAAATGCGATTTCAAGTCTTCTGAATGTATTAACCACTTCTAAACAAACATCTGCCTCTGGACTGCCTCTAGAGCTTGCACAGCCTTGTCCATCACTGTCTCTCCAAGATAAGGCGTGTGGAAGAAAGCCATCTCCCAGGCAATTCCAACTGCTTACCAATGTCAAATTAATGCACTTGGAAGCAGAGCAAAGAATTGCCTCTGTTCTTTCATCAGCAGTAATGCTTTATATGCAGACCGAATCCAGAATATCAGTATTCAGAAGCAAAAATATTACAATCTCTCTTGTCTCTGTGGAAAACAAAATGGGTTTTGTTTAGAAAAGCTCAGCTGAGCAGCTGGGTTGAAGAGGAAACTCTTTTTCACAGGTAAAAGTTTAGGTAGCTTTAATGAGACCTTTAGAGATATGAACACAGTGTCTATTTATACCCACTGCGCTCTCACTCACAGAAAGGCAGAAACCAAGAAGTGTAGGCAGCAAATTTCTATGTACTTGCTCATCAGCCAAACTCCTCTTTGCTACTCATTTCTCTCCTAACACCTGCATGTCATAAGCAACCACTGATGGCAAGATTGCTCAGCTTCATGAAAAAAAAGCAGCTTGAAGGGATAACCTCGTGGTTACAGGGCTGGCCCGCGAGGCCAGGGTGCTGAGTTCACAGAGAGTCTGTGATGGTCCAGTAGTGAACGAAAGGACCCGGTTCACATGGGGACTTTGGCACCAGCAATTCTCCTTCCTTCCCAGCACCCCGGCCTGAAGAGGAGGGGTGGAGAGCAGCTCCATCCCCAGTATGATCCGCAGCAAGGAAAGCTTTCCTGGAAGTAGGAGCCAAGGATTTTCCAGTACCCAGGGATTCCAGTTCCTGGGTGCCTCCTCTAGCCACTTGTCTGTTACGCAGAAAGTGGGTGGCACATCCTCCCCTTCCTTCTGTTCTCCTGGCAGCTATCTGTTTTTCTAAGAGAAACTGTGATCTGGCTGCATAAAATGAGAAGGAGGTTGGCGGCTCTGAAACCAAGCGTCACAGAGATGTCTGTGATAGCAGCCCTCAGACAGGCACTTAACTCCTGGTAAGAGACTAAGTTAGAGATATGCTCCTTTATTATTATTTGATATCATTTCATTTTTATTTTACGGTCAGCTTAGATATCCCAGCACACTGGCTGTTGTGGAGTGCTTAAACATAGCCCACATGGACTCTGCATGAAGGGCAATATTGCAAATCCCACACCTAGATATATGTGCTTGACTTTTACAGTGCTTCACAAGGCCTGGATCTGAAACTTAAATCCTCGTTGGTACCTTTAAGCAGTATAATAATAAAAAAATAGCACTAACCCAAGTTCTGGACTAGCTGTATGTACAACCAACTGCGTCCTCTTCTTTACCTCTGTTCTTTCAGCAAAGTTCCCTCCTTTTACACAAATTTCTCCCCCCAGCCCAGAGTATGTCAACAACGTCAACCTCCAAATGCTAACTAACCTCTGATTTCTGCGCAGTGGTGTTTTCCTCGGAGGCAGCAGAGGCATTACAACTATTCTGGAAAAAAAAGAATCAGCATTTCTCCACGTCAGGACAAGGCAGAGACAAATTGCTGCTCACATGTAGGAAATACAAGGAGAAAGACCCACAGGAGAATCCAGACCTCCCCAGCAAACTTCACCTGGCAGGCAGTGGCAGGAGACACACGCTTCCCTTTGCAGCTGGCACACTCACCCCTGCGAATACATCGGGAGCAGCTGGCAATGTAGAAAACAGAGTTTTTGTAAGACACAGGTTCAGCCATGAATGTGAAATTTCAAGTGACAAAAAGAAAAAAAAATCACGGATCCAGGAGAACAGTCTGGCAAACATAATGAAATGTGTACAAYGCATAAATTGTGTTTATCTTCCTAGACTACTGTTCTGTTCTGCTTACTCTGAGGACAAATTTAGTATGAAATGTAATTTATGCTGTGGGTCATAAATCTATGAAAAGCATGAAGCAGACCAAATACTCTGTGTTTCATTTTGCTGTGGTTTTCTAGTAAGTGGCCAGGTCATATTGTTTTTATCCAGAGAAGGGCAGGAAAAAAACACCACTGAATTTTTCACAGCTTTCCTGAACTTCTGTTCTGCATCTGCAGTGTTAACAAGCACTAAACCTTCCACCTACCAAAAAACTCATACCAGCTGGGGCCAAGTTTGCCCCTCTCTTTGCTCTGCAGTATATCAGTCAGCATGAACAAGGGCCTYCAGCAGCAAAGCTCCCCTCTGCACGTGCTGACAAGTGTGGGGTGGTAGAGATAGTGGCACTTCCTTCCTCGTGTTGCTCCAGGGACCGGGAATTGATGTGCCAAACCCCAAAATGCAAAAGGGAGCACGGCAGCTACCTGGGGTGTACATTAGTCAGACCTTTTCTAAGGTCTTGCCACTACATATCACATGGGTTAGGCAACGTGCTGGGCACAAACTATTTCTGCTGAGAGCTTGAAACAAAGCTTCTGGCTCTGAAGAATAACATGTACAGAACAATAGATATTCATTATTATTATTAGATTAAGCATTACCTTCTGTCTTAACTGTACTCATGAAACCTGTGTACTACATTTAAATGGCATCCTGATCTATTAAGGAAAACACCCAAACGGTGACTTTTACAGAGTCTCTTGACTCTTTCAGTCGACTGAAACTACTCTGACTCAGGTTTTATCCTGAGCCAGTAACGGGTGGCTGTGGAAGAAAAGAATTTTAATATCATTAAGCCATCCTTCATTATCTCATTACTTGTCACAAGCGACCTGTGCAGTATTAACTCTCCTATAGCTGCCAAAGTCCCAACAAACAACAGAAGCATCACATGGAAGTAGTTTCTAGGCACCAAGAAAAAGCAGAGAAAGAGGAAATGGGCCCAGAAAAAGGGTTTTGCTATCTCTGGTGAAATGCATTTCCTTTTGCAAATGCCAAAAAAGAGCGATTACACTTCAGCCCCGCTCTCTGCAGACACACATAAACCCCTTGCCAAGCAGCAATGAGAGAGAGGACCTTACTTGCTCAACTGAAATGTTTGTGTGATACTCCAGGAGCTGGAGGACAGCGATGCTTCGAGAACCAGACAATCTGAAAAAATGTGACTGTTAGACATATGTTGGATATTGCAAGAGATGGCTGTTAAAAATAATAACTGACTTGAAGTCTCATGTGCCTTCAGCTTTTCTCTASATGATAGGCACTTCCTTTTTTGCTCACGCACACATTTACTCACACTTTCCACTGACAAAAATAAGGAGATTTTGTCCTTCAATAGCACCCTTTAGCACCTTATTCAAAGACTTTGCATGAGCTGATTAATTAATCTTGATGCCATCTCTGCATGATACAGAGAAGCAATGTTGCTGTCAGGATACAGATGAGGAAAAGCTCTCCTGCAGTAAGGATACAAAAGCACCCCCRAGAGCACAGAGTCCACCTGTGGCACAGCCAGACCCTGAACTCCAGCCTTCTAAGGCAGCAGGCTGTTCCAATTCAAGAGATCCCAACATACCCCTGCTTCTTTCTTTTTGTCTCACTTACTCGCAGTCTTCTTTTGTAACCTACATAGTAGCAATTTTCATCCTATTTAAATCTTTCATGATTGTATGAGTCAATTTGCCATTATTTCAGCTCGTAATTACTGTACCGACAATTCCCTGGCAGCTGTGGAATGAAAGGGTATCTTCTGCTCCCATGAGCAGAATACCACATCGAAGAGCAGAGCAACATGTACCACTTAAACCGTGGTCCCTTTCATTTGTGTGTCTGCAGATGTGTGTGTCTGCAAAATGAATGACTGTCTGACATCAAATGAAGCCCATGYGCGCGGAGCCTCCTGGTGTCTCTCTGCCAAGAAGTATCTGGCTTCTTAATATGTAACAGCCACACACTTTAGGTACAACTGCTTCGCAAAGGCCCTCAAATCTTGATCCCAGGTTGGCTCGTTCAGATGAGAACCAGCTCTGGCTACACCTCACACAGGCGTGCCGCGAGTATCCTCATACTCATGACACCCTGTCACCTATTAGGGCTTTTCTTCTTGCTTCTCAAACCAGGATTAAGACAGGAGCTTGACACACAAAACAGATGTGACAGACGTGATGATATGCAAAGATCATAGGCTGATCTCCCGAGATCTCAGTGCTGCAAGGAGCCTGTCTTAGGGACGAGGGTCCCCTAGAGAGAGCTTTTTGCAGCACTGTCGTCTACAAAAAGACATGACACTGTAAGTTCTGTTTAACATTTCATTCCTCTTTCTACATCAAATTATTAAACAGAATCAGATTTATGCAAAATGTTATGTATCTTTTGGACTACATTACCTAGGAAAAGATGAAGGCAAATACTTATCTAAATTTTGTATTTTCTCTTCATATTTATGCATTCATTTATGCATTCTTAAAAACGCATGATATTCTAGAGTTGGTTATCTTTACCCTAGTTCAGATTTAAGGTCTCTTTTGTGTTCTAACAAAACCAGAAAAGTGTAAATTCAAACTGTTTTAAAGAGTTTTGTGCTTCTCTACAGATCCCTGAAAGGATGCACAAGGGTTTTTTCCTTCTATTAATCAAATAACACCCTGCTGTGAAGGTTTATCATATTAACTTTGAGACCAAAGCCTAGAGAACAGCTCAAAAAATCCCCAAGTCCAGACACTCAGTGACTGAGCACCCGCTGTAAGATCTGCAATGCACAAACCATGTGTYGGATACAAATTTCATAGCTCTGTGTTTCTGAGAACTACTTGTGAACAAGCTAGCATTAAGAATTATTACACAATGATTCAASCACTAACATGGAAATATAAATCAAGTCAAAACCTGGAAAGATAAACCAGCCATGTCACCCCGGAAACATATATTTTTCTGCTTATCTTCAGGCGATAGCCTCTATCCGTGAAAATTGTTTTCTGACAAGTATCTAAAGTAGGCTGAAACACTTAACTGAGTGTGAAGATTATTTATTGTACAGACATTCACAATCAAATTGTCCTTTTAATTTATGCTGGTACAGATTGCTGCAGAAACAAATCCCTTTTGCAGATGGGAGAAGGGCTAAGATGGGTATATTTTCCCTGGCAAACACAGAACACTCTTTGGTGACTCTAACCAGTTTGTTTGTACTTGCTGACACCTTACCCAAAGTCTCCTTGCACAACTGGTTGCTGCACCACGGAAACTCAAAAGATTGAAGTGCTCTAAGCCAGTATGAGGAATATGCTTCTAGCTATGAATATTGAAATACTATATTTCTTCTACAGAGGATTCTGTATTAAAAACACTTTAATTATCAAGAGYAATGTAAATATGTAAAAAGCTCAAACCACTTGCTAGAACAGGAATAATTTATTTTCAGTGTCATTAAATAAAAAGCATTGTCTACACTTGCAAGCACTAGGCCTGTGTTTATGCTCAGTTCTCTTCAGTAAAAAAGGACAATGAGTAAGTATGAAATAAATGGCATATTAAAACCTACCATTATCAGTTATCATTGGTGTAGTTAGATTGCAGGAGCAGGATGAGTTTTTCAGCATTACATTTTTGCAAAGTATTTCAACCGGTCTTATAAGTTTTACCATACAAGAGGTAAGGGTTTTGCTTATACTTGCAGCCACGGCAACCTATAAAAACATAAACAGAACAAATTTCTTGTTATACTTGTTAAGCTGTCATCTTGTCAGTACAGAAAACTTCAAACTATGAAATGCACAAAATAAAATTTTCATGGCAGAAGCAGACAATTAGCCTCTCAGAGGAAAAAGCCTCTTCCAACTGGAGAAGCAATGCAAAATGAATGTTGAAAGGAACATGCTGCTTACCCACTGAAATTAAAAGGATCTGTAAAATAGGTGAGGGGAACAATTTGGAACATTTAGGAATTTCAAACAAGGATTTTGGTGTAACAGTGCTATATGCTGTCCCTTCAAAATATATGCACAAGGATGTGCAATTCCTCACAGAAAGCTTACTTTCGCATCAATATACAAAGTGTGCTCAATTGGGAAACTGAATTTATCTTAGTGTGATTTATCCTTTGTTCTAGCAGACAGGGCTTTACAAAYACAAGCACATTCGAGCATTCAATCAGGAAGCCAGGAACAATAGCAGGCAAATTAAGTGGCCAGGCAAAATACTTGATAATCAGAAATTCAGGGCTATGTTTGTTCTGAGCAGGCACCGGAAAAACACTAATTCCAAACACTTAAAAACGTATCTGTGTTAGCGTATATGTCCCAGTGAATGTTTTGTAGCTTGCTATAAAGCTTAGGATGCAGGTAATACACTTGATATAGCCTCACTGGAAATACTAGAAGAGCTGATATAGTGGAAGTGATGCCTTTGTCAGCACAGTGAATTTTCAAGTCAACAGCACGAAATATAGCTTGAGGATATGTTTTATAACAGAGGAAGAGAACATCTCTCTGATCTATACATTCAGCTTATTGGGTTTTCCTGTATATTTGCCAATTGTTTAGAYAAGAACAACTAATACACGAAGCGCAGTGACAAAAGAGGGGAAGCTGCAAAAAGTGACAGAACACCACATTTAAAATCAGAATAAATATGCATAAAGCTGCTTGTACATACCTGATTTATGGCAGGGAAACTGAGCAGGATTTTCAGRTCTTTATCAGGTGCATGTGAAATGTTATACCAACCATTTATGCTGTTTGAACGTGTACAATTTTCTTTTAATGTGCACCTAAAAGTATACATAAAATTATACTAGCTTCCTTTTGGTGGCTTTGATTTCAAATATTGTACTTCAGTTTATTTAATGGTATTGATTTTTTCAGGAACACAATTGATTTTTATCTTTTTTTTTTTAACAAGAACAYGGTAACAGATACACAAAGCTCTAGGAAAACAATCAGGAAAATCTTTTGCTTATCAGAATAAATTACAACACATTGATGTATGCTCTAGGGTCCTGATTAAGTCAGTGGGATTCGAGGAAACATTCAATGCTTGGCCTGCAATGATGGGCTCCTTAGTTTGGGCTAGAGTCCATCACCCCTCATTTTAGCCTGTTCCAATATAGAGCTCCAAGACCTCATGCCTTTTTTCCCCTCTGTGCTCAATGGAGAGACATGGGCCCTTCTAGGATGTGCTTCACCTGAGCTATTTCAGACATACAGACAAAAAGGAGATGAATCACCCCAGACAGAAGCTGCTCTTTCTCTCCACTGAGAGTAAGGGGAGCTGAAGTTGAAGCTCAGATGCAGAGCTAGGCTATGGACATGTGCTGCTGATCAGCTGAATCCTTCCTATTAATATCTTGTTCACTGTCCATGGATGTGAGGCACTTCAGGAAAGATTTCTCCATCTTAAAGAATAAGTTCAATTTCAGAAGTAGGATGGCACAAAGTAAATAAAAATGCTATATGTATCAAATTGTTGGTGGAAATAGAAAGTATAGAGCAGATAGATAGCGCAAAGCTATGAAAGAACGAGGAAACATTGGGAGATATAAACACTATAAAGACTACACATATTAATAGATTGAAAAAAACCCAGAACATCAGCATGCAAACTAGTATGTTTGAAAAGTGAATCTTTAAAAAAGTAGAGAGTGATAGTGAAMAATCCATAGTTTAACTCCAAATAATTTCAGATAGCTAGAAAGTCAACACAAGTAAGTGTTCCTTGTATCTATTTGAACATTTTAATAGTGCTCATTTCCAGATATGACCTCATGTATTTCCCCTCAAAACAGACTGCTTGAATTAGGTAGAGCAAAAGAAGTATGAGGCCTCAATTCCACGAGAAAGCAGATGCACGTAAGGCCTCAGCCATGGGACCAGTAGCGTGGCTACTGACGAGCTATTGCTTTGCCAAACATGAGATATGTGCACGCATTTCCAAAACGTGCACCTTGGCAAAACATTTTCATGAGGATTTCGGAGCTCACTGTACAAACACATTTAGACAAGAGGGCTTCTTTTTTTTTTTTCTGCAGAAGAACAGAAGAAAAAAAGAAAAGAAAGGCTTTCAAGAAGAATACCCACCACAGAGCCCATATTGCCGTCTCCTCTGTCAATGCGGGTGCTGGCAGCAGGAATGCAGTTAAGCACAGGGTCACTTCCTGTGCRGTCGAGCTCAGGAAACGGAGTTCCTGCAGCACGGGAACGTGCCGGGCTTTTGCATCTCAACACATTCAGGTCATAACTACACTCTAAGAAACTGAAAATATGCTTGACATATTTCAAATTGACTTAACTAGGTCAATTTTTGATCTCGTGTACGCTTCTCTTCACATTACTGAGATCACCAAGGTCCATAAGCGCCACGATTTTTGAACCACAGAGGGGTAAGATCTGTTAGCAACAGGTATCCATAAACCTGTGTGCTCGGGGGTGTGCAGGTTACTAACACGCACTGGGAATGAGACACGGACATCCAGCAGTTTCTGATGGTCCTAGGCTCTCGCTGTTACAGGTGCAAAGAAACACAGTTACTGTATTTGGCACAAGATAAAGACTGAGATTTCAGTGAGGTTAATACTGAAGAAGTTAGTTATTTATAAAGCCAGATCTCTAAAACAGCCTAGGAGAAGAGTATCTGCATTCTTAGACTGCCTGAGCAACACGAGTAGGGAGGCAGTTTCCCACATTTGTGAAGAAAACAGTTATATGGCAAAAAAAGCAATGTCGCCCAGGGCTGTGCATTTTTAGCATGGGGAAAATGCATCCTTTGCTGCTGCAGAAGCCGGCCCTTAACGCTCACACTATRTGCTATGGTAGGAAGCATCAGCAAAGGGGAAAGCAGAACAGCTGGTGCCTCTCAGCATAAATTCTCACAGCTGCCTTCAACAGGCTAGCGACAACCCGAAGTCCATTTGCTTGGGGAAGAGATTATTCTACTCTAGTCCTATTTYAAGACAATCTGCTTTGTTTGCGAATATACTGGAATGAAAAGAACAGAAATGCTATAAGAGAACCACATGCTGCTGAGAAGGGCTTATCAGCCTCTTCAGGTTCAGGTACCTCCTAAGAAAGTAAAATAATAATAATAATAAAAAATGGATCAAAAGTAGGTGGAAATTTCTGGAGGTTGGTTTTCCAAGAAGGCAGACTGGGCCAGACGCTGTATGACATGAAAGAGACTTYTGGGACAGCGGAGCAAGAAAGGATAAAAAGCAAAAAGTGAGATTCATTAGTTATCCCTGAGAAGGGAGCAAATTTAGGGAGAAGGATCCTGAGGCTTCCATGAGAGATGAAGGGGCAGTATCTGCTTTAAGTACCCCGTGGATTAGATTTCCAGCATGCACAGATTTGTGTCCAGAGAAAAGCAGAGAGAAGAATTTCTCTAATCTTTCACAGCTAGCTATGGTTCTTTATGCTACTAAAGATCCGTCTTCACAATGTGAATCACATTCCTCTTATTTCAGGATGAACAACATGGTACCTATGCCTACCGGCTCATTCATATGTATTTAAACCTCTGCTTCATTAATCATTATATTAACCACTGAGCCCTATTGAGTTTGTTCTCTCTGTCTTGCTATAATATGCTGATTGCCTAGCAGAAGAGGAAGACAATTTCAGAGAAAGTTTCTGCTTGATACTAACCCCTAAGGGAAGTCTGTGGAAGCCTCAAGMACTGACCAAATTTGAAACTCAGGTTCATCATATCAGAAAACTAAGATGTATTGTACTATTTCCATATTGAAATACACGGAAAACATTGGTGCTTTATATTGGAGAGATTTCAASAAACTTCAGGGGAATTTGATTCATCTGAAGAAAATCAATATATATCAAGAGAAATCATACTATGCTATGACTACTTCTTTCGAGCAACAGTAAGTGAAAAGGGGAATTTATACCGTTGTATAACTGGATAACTTGGAACAAAGAGTAGAAATACGAAGAGTAGAAATATTTTGTTTCATTTTGTTTTCACTTCCAATAGGATGTGTATATTTTTTCAGCAAAACATTGGGTTTGAATCCACACTGTCTTTAAAATGAAGCATGGCTAATAAGTTTCATTAAAAGCAAGGAATAGATATTTAACATAAAATTGATTCCCTAGTTTGTGTAAGATGTATCATCAGCCTCTTTTAATACAAAATCAACACTTTATGTCCTGACAACAGTAGGTACACTTTTCCAAATAACAAAAATGTATTATGGAGTATATTGTTTTAGTGGACATGYCTTGGTTTTACTAAAAACATTTGCTAAAAACATTTATTTATTTTTCTAAAGCTTCACTCAGAACTAGATCTTCACAAACATAAACATTTAATAATGATAAGTGATTAACAAAGAAAAATAATGTGGGTGTTAAAGGGGGTTCATGTTGCAGTAATTCACTTTTTCTCCAAAAGAGCAAATTATTTCTATTTCAATCTGGTGGAAATTTTTGGTGATTTCCCTCATTAAGAGGGTATACTGACTAATAACTGCATTTYCAAACTCTTTTTAAGCTAATTAAAAGCCTGAAAAGTTTAACACAGCATAGACAGCCTCTAACAAGAAGCCAAAGACAGAGTTTGAAGAAAACTCATTGGAGGACAAAAATTTAGTCTCTTTTAATAACCACCTTTGCAAACAAGTAAACCTTCCGCAACATCATGTTGATACTGAAACAAATCAAAATGAGTAGTATTAACCTTCTAATGGAAGGTCACTAGTGGCATTCCTTGAAAAATCAATTTTGTCACCATTTTTACTTAACATTTTAGCCACCGATGAACCAGTATAAAAACAAGCAATACCCCGATGACATGTGCTAATGATACCAAGTTGAAAACATTGTCATGCAGGGAAGGATCAGAAAATCACACATGAAAACGTGGATGACCTTGGCATAAGAAGATGACATTACATAGCACAAAATACAAGAACTTAGAGCAATGGAAATCTCCCAACCCATATGTGCTGTAGACTGGAAACTTATTAGTTGGAGGGGTAAAATAAAGAACAAAGGAACAGAAGGACCTGGGGGCATTGTTCGATCACGGATGATTGTGGCCCATCATCGTGATGCAGTCATGAAGAAGACATTTGCAATTCCAGGACATATCAAATAAGGTGCTTCCTGGATAGACTGGGAAGGATTAAACATCACCCAGCAAGGTGACATCTCTTCTGAAATCCTATGACAGTCCTAGTCATCCATGTTTAAAAATAAATGTATAAAAAACTATTATTGAAGCTGGCTCTTTTTGTGCAGCAAAATGAGACTGAAGAAGGGGTCTGCTTTCACAAAAATATTAAGGTGGTTAAGTAGGAGTGAGGCAGAAAATTTAACTAAAGCAATGCTGGCACCCCAAGAATGGGTATAATCTGTATGTGAATAGATTGGTGATGAAAATGGGGAGAAGGATTTTAAAGCAGCAGCACAGTGAGGCTCTTGGATAGCCAGTCAATCCAAGACTGAGGGCAAAAGCCTCTCAAGTCAGGATCAGTCTGAGTGGGTTTACCTGCAATGTGGTTACTTGCAATAGCCAGATGACCTGATGACCTGCCTTGATGACCCGRGAAGTCCTGCAGTCCAGTCTTTACACATGCAGAAATACAGTGCAGCAGTTTTGAAACCCAATTCAAAGAAAGCAGCAAAACTAATGACTTGAATGGGAGGATGAAGGGTTCAGAAAGTCATTCTTAACTGGCCTAAAGTAAAAGGCAGTGGTCCCTGAGCAAGGAGCAGTGAATACTGAAGACAGCTGGGAACTCTTTCCTTGTTTTAACAAGCAAGAGGCTGCCCAGCTATTAAGATGCTTCAAACATGTATACACAATTTCATATCTGTCAATTATGAAAGCAAAAACATCTGCTCTAAAACCAAATTTCTTTTTAGAAAATTTGCTTTTAGAAACAAAAATATTCTAAAAATCATAGAATCATAGAATCCTTAAGGTTGGAAGGGACCTCCAAAGATCATCTAGTTCCAACCCCTCTGCACACGCAGGGTCACCTAGAGCACGTGGCACAGGGCTGTGTCCAAGTGGGTTTGGAAGATCTCCAGAGAAGAAGACTCCACAACCTCTCTAAAAATATTGTAATGCTTTTTTTATTTTGCACTGATCTAAGAAATCTGAAGATTAACATGATCTCTAAAAGGCTCAGAGTGCCTTTTCACATGATAAAAAAGTGGCTCGCATTTATGGCTATCACTGATTTCATAAAAACACAACAGATACAAAGATATGCTATCTTAATGCTGAAAAGCCCCAAGTTAGTAAAAACTTACAGTAAGTAATAATGCATTGCTTCTATATGCAGGTCTATACACCAGAAAATACCTTTGATTCAGAGAACACCACCCACAGTAGGGATCCTTTGCAGATAAGCATCCTTGCTGGGAAACAAATCTACTGCAATTTGCAACCAGTATTCTTCTCACCTGAAACCAAAGAACATAMGGAGTGAAAACAGTCTCCATAAAAGAGGGAAGCTGAGGATTATCTTCAAATATCTGACAGCATCCAAATATGATGCCTTTGGGGAAGTTTCCATATGTGCTCCCCGCTGCCAGAAGGCCTTTGGGCAGGCATTGGTAGCCCATTTTATGCACATTGTATTTTGTCATCAGAAGAYGAAACTACTTGTACAATGGCAGTCTGGATCTAATAGTAACTTGCCAGCATGGACAAAGCAATGCATGAAGAACTCAGCACAGTGGTAACAGCAAGAAGGGAGTATATTTTATGAATAATGTTCTGCTTAGCAGAATACTGCTTCCCTCATACCAGAACTGGAGTTTTTAGATGACTAATGAAGGTGCATCCAAAAATGCACGTGCAAAACAAAATGCATTTATGTTTGCATCAACATGTCAGGTAACTGCATGTGCAAACTGGTACAAATGCATGCAACTACCAAACATGCATGCAAATGGCACTTCAATAGGTAAAAATAGATGATTGTGGTTATTATATTTTATGTATCTATACTTGTACATTCAGCTTGAATTTCCTAGTCAGCCATTTTCAGAAAAGGAAAAAAGAAAAAGAGAAAGTCATTTTAAAACACAATAATGTTGTAATAATATTGTCAATTGATTGTGTTAATAAGAAAAACATTCCTGTTTCAAAACATTTGTTTATAAATTTGCAAGAATTAGAAGCTCCTGTATTTCGTTAACAGAAACAAGGATGTGCCTTTATGCAGAACTTCACTCGTTTTTTTCCAACCACGTGTTATGAAACTCAGTTTAACTGGAGATGTTTGAGATAATCAGTAAGTTCAGGAACCTGTCGGTATCTTAGACTACTACCAAGAAAAATAAAAAAAAAAAAGGCTGTTTCTAAAAGCCGTTGGTCCTCCACTACAACATGCTCTTTTATGAAAGCTAAAGAAAACCCAAATCTTTCCTGTGCATATTTACAAGCACATATAAATGAAGTGCTGGGTGAAATCATGTCCAGTGCAGCCAGCCTGCCAGCCCATACATTCCCACGGCTGTCTTCCCTGGCGCTGGCGAGAGGGAGGACTTTGTAACAGAGTCGGTGCCCAGCGGCCCTGCTGCAGGACACGCTGCAGGACGTGCTGCTGGACACACTGCAGGATGTGCTGCAGGATGCGCTGCAGGACATGCTGCAGGACGTGCTGCAGGACGCGCTGCAGGACACACTGCAGGACACGCTGCAGGACACGCTGCAGAACACGCTGCGGACACACTGCAGAATACGCTGCAGGACACGCTGCAGGACGCGATGCAGAACACACTGCAGAACACGCTGCAGGACGCGCTGCAGGACGCGCTGCAGGACACACTGTCCTGTGCAGCAGCCCCCACGCCTCCCGCACTCCACATACTGCAGCCGTCCCCTCAGATGGACAGTGCTTGGTAGTTTTTGCTGGAGATCTGTCTTAACTGAAGATGATGAGGACTTTAACACTAACCTCAGCAGGACTAAGACTGCAAACCCATCTCTTCAGTTAAGAGACTCCTCTACATTAGAGGCTGCACAAGCGAGGGGCAATCACGGGCCTACAGAGGCTCAATTACCAATTCAGAGTAASCTCCTCTTCAAAGCATCTCCTAAGCTGTGTTTGCTAACTCCTCGCTTGACTTTGCATGATGCCAGCCACATATTCAAGGCCCCAGGAAAAAAAAAAGAAACATAAACCATCTCTGAACGGAGTAACGTAAAAGAAGGTTGTGAATAAGGGCCTTGCTGGGCTATAGGAGCAGCCGGCAGTGCCAAAAACATCAAGTTCCTMTGAGTTCTGCAGAAGTGCAGAAAAAGCATGTAAATTCGGTAACCTGAGTTTAGATAGGTAAGGTCTGACCCTGATCCAAACAGATACTTCACCTTTAAAGTCATACAAATCCTTAAAGAAGCAGTTAACTTGAATCTATTAGTGTACTTACCGTATTAGCAGAGGATAAATAGATGTAGTTATTATCTACTGGATCAAGTCGAAGTTTGGGGAAAATGGGAGTTTCTTCCTTAATTTCGTATAAGACTTCCGGGCAATTAGATACCATATCCTCATCAAGAATAGCCTAAAACAAGAGAAGGGAAATTATTCACAGACTCTTCTATTTACCCATTAGTATTTTAATCATAACCCTAATTTTTGCTCTTTCGCTAGCTACATCAGAGCCTCTGAAATGACTCTGTCCTGATCAGTTCAAAATCATACCCAGCTCTTATATTGCAGAAAAGTGGAAGAAAAGGCAGTCAGAGCAGAATTTCTAGCACAAACATGCCAGAAATGTTTTGCACTGAGGCTGGCGCTCAGTATAATGTAGGAGACATCCTTTTCATCGGCTGCGTTCCTGACTGACAGAAAGACTGAAGAATGTGCAAGAGAGACCTATATGCAAAACAGAAGTCCTAGTGTGTTAAGCACTTCCATGAACAGAGTGGAGAGTAGGGTGTTCACGAAACAAATGAACATCCAGGGCTCCACCAGGTGAGAACCMCTACCATGTAAAAAGGAATCTGCTGGTTACTGGCAAACGCCTTCAAGGCAGAAACTTCTCCGTGGCTTCTGGGAGTACGTATTTCAGTTGCTGTCACTTTTCCTTACTGTGTCTAACTCTGGAGCTTTCCGCCACTCTTCTTATGCAATTCAAGACAATCACAGACCATTTTAATTTTCAAGTTAGTAAGTACGCTAACATCAATGCCAAGTTTTCTATGACTTTCATCTCTTAATTCCATAAACAGGACTAAATGAGGAAAATATGTTCACAGTTCTCACTGTGCTAAGGGGATGTGAAAACGTTCCATTTTGTTTTTCTTTGTCAAAAGTATTAACTTAGCACAGTGAAATCCAGTGGGTAGAAACTTTTCATGATCTTTTCTTTATTCTCCTCCACCTGCCTGTTTAATTAAAACAAAAAATGAGAGTAATCCTTTGCCATGTAGACAGGAAATACACCTTTTCGCAAAACCCCAGAAAAAAAAGACATCAACCATAAAGACATTTGACTGGATGGTTGAAAGGTTTCTGAGATAAGGTGACTTTCATTTCTAGGTGACTGATTTAAGCTGTCACAGGTCAGCTACTCAGAAGCGATGGCAAAGGGGGGCTTTGGCTTTTCTCTCTAATGGACAGCTATTCGCATCACGCAGAGACAGGCTAACAAACAAATAAATAGGCAAACATGTTCCCTTCACAGGCTCCCAAAATCTAGTTGCATGTAATATTCCCACTGGAAAAAACAAAGCGGGGAAGTAAACCAGAGATAGTGCAGCTGAGAACCCTGCAGTCCATAAATTAATTACTATGGGCATTAGTAGATTAATGAAATGCTTCCATGAATTTTAAGCAAGGTACGTAATTGCTTTTGAAAATTATCTTGTTCTCCAAGTAACAACAGAGCAGCTTTTTTTTCATAAAAGAGACAAAAAAGAAACAGAGATCCAGGGAATTCTGTTCACATTACACTGAATAAAAAATACAGGAAACTTTTACTCTCTGGAAGACACGAGTAGCAGAAGGGAGGCATTCCCATGGAAACGGTGCTCCGCTTACCTTCAGGAGCTGTCCGTCATCCGTGCCCAGAAAGAGAACGATCTGATTCAAAACAACCGTGCCGTAAACAGCCGCTAAGCCAGACTGAATCAGGGTGGGTAACTTCTTGATGGATCGCGCCGCCTGGAAATCAGATACAAGAGAAAAYCATTACAAAACTACCCAGCTATACGACAAAATATTAATGAAAAGGAAAAGAAGCATCCCTGGGAAGATTCTCAGAGAGCTCAATTTTAGATAACAGCTCGGGTTATCCTTGGAAACCCTGCATGCACTATGAAAATGCTTCTTTTTCCATAAGGTACCAGGAGATTACATTTACTGTAGCTAAACCATCAATTTCAGCATGACATAGGCATGGTCTAACAGCAGACTTTACTTCATAACTTGATCCCTCTTTTGTGGGGACACAGTGCCTGGCCCTGTTCTGGATTGCCAGTTCTTCCCCACGTGGCAATGTTTTGCTGTCACTTGACTGCACCTATCCAGAAGGCAACAGATTAATCCACTTTTAGTGATTCAGAAACCACTTTTAAGAGCATGCAAGTATTCTGGAGTAAGGAGGTTCTTCAAACATACAGACGTCTTTTTGTTTTGTTTTGTTTTTTGCTTGTCAGAAAATGCAGACCTTCATCCTCCCCTTTCTGGTTTCCTGCTTCACACTAAAGGAAGCTGAGACTTGCATATTACATAAATATAAAAATGAGACAGAGCACTATACAGTTCACGTCAGTGTGAGTACATAAAAGGAGCTGATTTTCTTCCTCTTCACACTTTCCTAATTTTGTTATGTATAGAAATGAAGGTTTCCAAGGACATGTTTAATCTAGAGTTGGCAATACATGCTATGACAAAACTACGATAATAACAAAAGGAACAATACCATTTTCCTTATGATCTGACATTATCTGAATATCACACAGTATTAGAGAAATCTGTTTTGATAACACACTTGTTACTTTGCTTCCCAAAATGACAAAAGTCTTTACAGCAAAGTGTGAGTTACATCAGCATGAGGATGGGAAGTCTGGCCTCTCCATACCTGTGCTAGATGGAGTCTCCTTCTCCGGAGATCTTCCAAACCTGCTTGGACGCAGCCCTGTGCCATGTGCTCTCGGTGACCCTGTGTGTGCAGGGGGTTGGACTAGGTGACCTCTAAAGGTCCCTTCCAATCTTAAGCATTCTGTGATTCTATGACTCTGATTCCATGATTCTATGTACCTGTGCAGACTTCAAGAGCAAAATGGCACTTACAACCCTCAACTCCTAGAAGCTGGGTGATGCTAAGTAACAGAAGCATAAAAAGAAAACGCAGGGTAGGAATCCCTGCATCTGGGAAAAAAAAAAACAGCAAACAAAACAATTATCCCTTTCTATTGCACGTGCTGCAGAAGATCAAGTGCTAAAAGGAAGATGACACTGTGCCAGGAACTGCTTCTTCTCTAGGAAAGCCACTRTCCCCATCCCAAGGCTCTTGCAACCTCAGGCTTCTACCTTGCATAAAGTAACTTGTATTTGCAGTCCTGTAATTGCTTTAAATCAATCTTATTGATGGTTGCTGCCAAAAGTGTGATGCCACCTGCTCTCCAAACACACGGCAGCATGGACTTAAGTGCTGCACAAAACACTGACAGGCAGGGAGAAGAGAGGGAAGAGCTCAGGTAGGTTTGGGCCTTTGGCAACAACCCCGGTGAGCTGGCTTAAAATGACTACGACCTCAGCCTGGACAGGCTCCTAGATCTACAGGAACCCTCTGTTGCTTTAATGAATGAGACAGAGAGTGGGAGAACAGACCGTTAAAATCCTCCTTTTGCAGAAACATGAAGGCATTTCTCCAAGTCGCGAAGCAAATCCATGACCCAGGTAACAGCTGAATCCGGCCCTCTTGGCTTAATGCCCAAAAAAAGCTATTCACACAAAATTATCTTTTTCTGAACTTCAATCCAAAGTCAATTACAATCTTTTTCAGTCATCTGAATTATTTTAATTAGCTTGCAAGAACAGCCACTTGGAGGAAAAGAAGACTTGATTAAATTTTGTCTGTAAAGAAAAGGATATTTTTTCATGTAGTAGGAAGAAAACATAGGAAGTGCCATGTACTGGCACAGAACTCCAAGAAAATCAGCTTAGGCATGAGACTTCAGTACTATGGGAGTCTGTTTTAGATATAAATATATACAAAAAAAGCAACCGCAAGAATTCTAAAGCAGAAAAATAATTAACAGCCCTCATCTTCTCTCAGATCAGAGGGTAAGAAGCAGTGGTGGATGCAACGAGCCCTCAGTCACACTGAAGAATCAGGAGATGAACCCTCCCGAGCTTTGATTTCCATGAGCACCAGGACTTTTTACTTGCTGTGCTGCAAGCTCTGCAAGGAAGAGGAACCACCCCAGGTTCCTTTCGGACACAGCACAGCAGGACCTCCAAAGACAGGAATAACCACCCAGGATCTGGGAAGCTTTGCTGCCAGCTTTTATCTTGACTCATATCCTAGTAAAACAGCTAGTGTCGCATCAGAGCGTCGCCGTCATGTGAGGGCAGAAGCAAGGCTGACAAGTCTGGAAGCCTCCTCCCCTCGCTGCGCTCGCTGGAGGGAGGGTCATCGTGACATTGAGCTAATACAGATAACGAGAGCGGGGATTTAGTCAGTGGGCAGGCACAGCAAAAACTGCCTTCCCTCTTTTGCAGCCTGTTTCTCCAGTTGGCCCGTTCCCTCCAGGGTGCAGCTGCTGCTTTCACCCTTCTGTCATCCTCTTCTCTCTTTATTTTTTTAACAAGCCCTTTTACTTCTTCCACTGTGACTAACGGGGCTACAGCACTGTAGGCTCTTCCCGAGCTCTTCTTTCACAGCTAAATACAGCCCTAAAATGCATTTACCATCTAAACTTCCTTTACACCTCAAGAGTTATTCATCTCCATGATCATCTATCCTATAATACTTCTGGACTCATAAGAAAACATCAAATGCACAAGAAAAGGCTACATTGCTTTGGAAGACTGTTGTTTATTTATTTTTTCCTAGCTCTTCATTTCCACCCTTTGGTTTTATTCTGTGGTCCCAAAACATCTTCACTTTCACAGGTAAGCCTAACGATCTCCTAAATTAACTTACATTTTACTTTCAAGATTAGCTCTCTATGCTGTTTGGGGATTATTGGCTTGAAAATTATTTATTCATGTTCTATATTTTGTATCTCATTTTCAGATTTATCCCTGCATGATTCCAGCTGCAGCAACTATATTCTCACTAGTCTTTTCTGTCTTGATTTCTTCTCAATTCCTTTGTATTGCATTGCCTCAGAGGGACAGGCAGCATTTTCTTGTTCATGAAGCACTCAACATATTGTAGCCTGGCCAAAAAGTAAAAACTCAGGATTTGAGCCTTACAGTGAATGAGCAGATGCAGATAGCCCATAGGGACACAAAATTTGTGAGTATTGCATAGCATTAGTCAACACTTGAGCTTATGGAAAGACACCAATGCCCTTCCCAAAGGGAAAAACCTTCTGGAATCTGATTCTTCCTTCTTCACTTCACCATCCTTCAGCCTCCTGCCTCACTTTTGACTATATCCAAGAGTAACAAATGTTAACACTGGTACATTCATCACGCCTTTCCTAGGACTAAAGAAAAAGGACAAGAACTATTCCAAGATTTGATTTCCATGAGGATTTTTTTTCTTGATGCATTGTACAGCAACATAAGGAGGAAAAACTGTAAGGAAGAAAAGGAGCAAAACAGGAAACCAGAAGGTCTGCCCAAAGACCTTGCAGAGGCAAGACCAGAGCCTCACAACACAAGGAAGGAGGCCCAGCTAGAGTCTGCACTTTAATAAGTGACCGACGGAGACCTGAGATGGGGGAGAACTGAAGCCTGTCCCTTCTGGAGGCAGGTGAGAAGCTCCTCTCTCTGCCCTCTGATCAGAATTTGCAGGATCGGTCCAGGCCCAATAACAAGCTYAGTTAAGGGAGGCTTCAAAGCCAGTTGGGCATGAAGCAAGCATCAGCAGAGAACAAGAGGAAGTGGTAGGTGACTGCGGTTGGAGATTCCCTTCCCTTCTGCGTGGGATGAAGGCACACAGCTGCCAAACAGTTGTGCTTTCAAGAGAGGCTTTTTTTTTTTTTTTTTTTTTTTTTGGCTTGTTAGGGGCCCAGATCCAGTACATTGCAAAGAAATTGGTGGTGCTTTTCCACATTTTGGACTCTCACCCCTCAATGTCCTCTTCATGGACACCAAAAACCTGCAGTGAATCAAGAATGGCTACAGAGCTATGGGACAAAACACAAGACATGAGAGCCCAGGTTTTATTAATCCTATGGGGTCCTTTTTGAGGAATGAGGAGGATTAGTGAGAGAAGGGATCTTCTGGACAAAGTAGGGTAAGATCATCTTTGCCAAGAGGCTGGCCAACCTGACAAGGAAGGCTTTAAACTAAGTATTTCAGAGGGAGGTGACAAGAGATTGCAGCTGAGTGAGAAAAGGGAGGTCGGGGTGGCAAGATAACAGGGCGCTGTGATGAAGGTGAGAGCCATCAGGAAGGAAGACACAGGGCACAAGGGGTCTCACCTCAGGTGCCTGTGCACRCTGCCTGGAAGCAAGCAGGAGCTGGAGGAGCAGAACTGTGACTGCCCTGGAATAACTGAGAGGTGGTAGGAACGCTCACACACCTGAGTGTGGTGATGAATGGAAAGAAAAGCGAGAACAAAAAAAGGTTGTGAAGGAGCAGCTTAGCTCAATTGTGTGCAGCTCTTCCATGGGCCAGACGACAAGGTGGTTGAAACCTGAGAAACAAGAGACCATGGAGCACCCTGTGGTGGCACTTTGCTATACACCACCCAGATAAGGTGAGGAAGTGGACCAAGTCTTTGAGTAACTCGAGTAAGTCTCCAGCTCACAAGCTCTGGGTCTTACGGGAGACTTTAACTCCCCTGACACATGCKGGAAGGATAACACATGGGAAGCAAGCAACTCAGGGAGATTTCTGGAGCAACTCGGGGTCTTCTTATTACACATGCCAGGCAGGTCAGTGACGGTAATAGTCTTCTGGATTTGCTGTTTGAGAACGAGGAAGAATAGACGGGTGAGGCAATAATCCATGGCAGCCTTAGCTCTAGTGACTACACA